CAGAGTGAAGATTTAGTCGCATATGCGAGTGATTTACTCGCAATGTAGAGGGTTGTATTTATTTATTTTTTGTGGGTTTCATGCTGTCTGCTAAGGCATAGGACACACACACAGGCTTCCCTCCTCACCAACGACATAAAACACCGTGTGTCTACACGGGCCGCGAGCGGCAAAATACAGTAGAACCATTATAACCAGTGACACTGTGTACACTGGATGCGACGCGACATTAAACTGATGACTTGTTCTATTTATGACGTACTGACACAAAGTTAAAATGATTTGCAACGGTCGCTTTGTCGCGTCCAGTGTAGAGCTGTTGCAGCGCGATGCGATAGCGTCGTTATAGACACGGTGAGTGAAGCCGAGAGCAAGATATGCCTCGTCATATTTTCTGCATTTAGCTTTTGAATGACCAGCACCTGCCTGGGTCTGTGCGACTTCATCTATGGCTTTTCTCTTCCCTTTCACAAACCGATCCATCTCCCATTCTAAGTTACGTCCTTTGGCTGTTTACTGTTTTATTTATTTTCTGCTGATGGCCAGCACTCGACTTGAAGCAGCGCTGCTTAGACCGATGGGTGTATGGCATCAAAGTACTGCGAGAGCTATAAGAGAGCGCGGACATCTCCTTATGGTTTCTCTCGCCGTACTTTGATGTCATACACCGATCAATCTTCAAGTCGAACACACCTCTTTACTCTCGCCTGTCACGTGACCGTGTAATTGCAGCCTCTGCGATTGAAAAATCGTGTTATTTCATATCGCGATATTATCGCAAATGCAATTAATCGTTCAGGCCTATTTTGCACCATCCATTTTTCCTTCTATCCTGACAAGTGCTCCAGTCCCTGCTGCAAAGAAACTCCCCCAGAACAGGATATTACCAGCTCCATGCTTTACTGCAGGAATGCTGTTATTTGAATGCTAAGCTGTACTGGATTTCTGCCAGACGTATCATTTGGTGTTGAGGCCAGATAATTCAATTAGTCTCATCTGCCTCAGAATCTTTTAAGGTGTGTTTTGGCAAAGCTCAGTCTGACTGCATGTGGCCTTTCTTGAGGAGTGACTTTTTTCTTTCACCCCTTCCATACAAGCCACATTTGTGGAGAATTTGTGATATTGTTGTCACAGGCACACAATGACCACTCTTTGTCATAATTTCCTGCAGCTGCTTCAGAGTTGCTGTGGCACACAATGACCACTCTTTGTCATAATTTCCTGCAGCTGCTTCAGAGTTGCTGTAGGCCTCTTTGTAGTCTCTCTGCAGTTTCCTCCTGACTCTTTCATCCAGTTTGGAGCGACATCCTGATCCAGGGAGGGTCTGTGTACCAAATACCTTTCACTTCTTAAAGGGTTACTTCACCCAAAAATGAAAATGAACCTGTGTTTTACTCACCCTCAAAGCATCCACCTAGTATGTGACTTTCTTCTTTCACACGGATCCAATTGGAGTTATATTAAAAATTGTCTTGGTCCCTCCAAGCCTTTCAATGTTTTTTGTCAACAGTTCAGATGACGTGAAATAAAGTGCGTGCATCCGTTATAAAACGTCCCTCACAAGGCTCCGGGGGGTGAATAAAGGCCTCCTGTAGAGAATCCATGCATTTTTGTAAGATACATATCCATATTTCAAACGTAATAAACACTTTTTTTCTCACTTCCGCTGACTGTGGTACACGGAAGACGTTCAGGCGGATGACGTAAGACGTATGCATCGTGCATGAGCCTCTGAGAAATGCAGGTGCAAAGGAAACAAAGTTTCCTTACTTTAGCAAAGGAAAACCAGTCTTCTCTTGGTAAAACACAGGCTAATTTTCAGTTTTGGGTGAACTAACCCTTTAATAATAGATTTCACTGTGCTTCTTTGGAGATCTTTTGATGGGTGCCCATAGTTGATTGTTTGCTTCAGTTGCACTACCAAGGACTGAAATGCTCCAGGGAAGCTCTTTTCACACTGAGCCAATCAAAATGACCACAGCTGATCACAGTTGAAAGTCAAATGTTACCCTGGACCACAAAACCAGTCATAAGGGTCAATTTTTCGAAAATTGAGATTAATAATAAATAAGCTTTCCATTGATGTATGGTTTGTTTGGATAGGACAATATTTGGCCGAGATACAACTATTTGAAAATCTGGAATCTGAGGGTGCAAAAAAATCTAAATATTGAGAAAATCTCCTTTAAAGTTGTCCAAATGAAGTTCTTAGCAATGCTTATTACTAATCAAAAATTAAGTTTTAATATATTTACAGTAGGACATTTACAAAATATCTTCATGGAACATGATCTTTACTTAATATCCTAATGATTTTTGGCATTAAAGAAAAATCTATAATTTTGACCCATACAATGTATTTTTGGCTATTGCTACAAATATACCCCAGCGACTTGAGACTGATTTTGTGGTCCAGGGTTACAAATGTGTCTGTCTTCATTTCAGGCTGCAACAGAATGTGATTATTTTAAAGGGGGAGGGGTGATTCTTTTCTATACCCACTGTAAATGAACAATATATACTCTTTCTCTATGTTGCCTGCACTAAGATATGACTTTGTATTCTTTGTATTCCCACACATGGACCGTTGGATTGACAGAGGGGAGGTGACAAAATCAGAAGTGCATTATGGGTGTTGAAGTTTTGGCAAAAGGGTGTTTTCTCTAGTCACAGCTCCAATTTCAAATTTTTAGTATTTTCACAATTTTTTTTTTTTTTACCCCTTTAGTGATTATTTTTATTCTTGTGTTATCTAAAACTAAAAACAGTTTCCTTAATTGAAATAAAACTCAAGTAAAGTAAGAAGTAAATTGAAAATGTTGCCTTGGCATCTAAACTAACCTGAAATAGGTTTCATTTGAAATACTAAATCTGGAAGAAAAATAAATTAAAACTAAAAATATATACAAAAAACTAAATAAAAATATAAAACTAGCAAAAGTATAACCAGATTACTGACTGACTTCTCTCTGGTGACATGTGGCAGACTTCTCCAGTCATTTAGTCTGAAGTTAAAGTGGACTAAATCAGCGCTTCTCAACTTTCCTGTAGCCCCCTGCACATGTTTCATGTTTATACACACCTGATTCAGGTCATCAGTTCATTAGTGATTTCTTATATTCTGATAATAATTGTGTTGTCACATTATAGATTAACCACACAAGAAACTGTTTTGTCACTGTATTCATGGAAAGGAAGCCTGTGTGCTATGTTGACTGCTGTAAAATGCAATAATCCCTAGCAGATGACAAAGAGGTTGCCAGGTGCCCAGTGTCATACTCCTGCTGTCAAACAGGTGTCTGCTGCACACCACATCTGGCTGCTAATCACCTAGCAAAACTTGTCCCAGTTTGTTGTGTCCATGGCAATGACCTAAAATCTGTGAAATGTGAGTTTTAGGATTATTTTTGTATAAACGTATTCCAAATTTTGTAAATAGGGCAGCTTTGTAACACAGTAAATATAATTACAGTGCATTTAAAATTGGATTAATGTCACATATACATCAAACCAAAGTGTAAGTTAGTGGTAGGAGGCTTGTTCTCATCATATATGCATACTGTATATATATTTTTTCTTGATTTTGTTGACAAACAGACATCATATAGACTAAAAAACAACTCTGTTCACAGTAAAGAGTGGTTGTTGGCATGTATTTTGAGTGTATGTTGATGTCTAGTCTACGTGCAGTGTGTTTTGAATTTTTCCACTTGTTAAACCATTTGCCTTTCTGTCACAGTGACTGGCTTGTCAGTAAACCTGTACAACAAATATTGCCTAACTTGATATACTTGTTAAATTTTCTCTTATTTGTCTTAGTTTCAAGTACATGTGATGCCAAGAGTGAATGACGTAGGTAGTTCTTGCTTCCTTAATACTAAACTATAAACATTTAATTGCATTCAATTCTGGTTCAGATTATTGCTTTTACCCTTGATAGACATAATTATATGGTAATGTTGTGTAAATCAGTACTGTTAACTAAAATTTAAAGTTTTACAAAACATGGTTAATTGAAATAAAAATATATAAATATTACATTAAAAAAAATAACTAAAGGAAAATTAGAAATGTTGCCTTTCCAACTAACGGTTAAGTTTACAGTAAATACTGAAATTTCTAAAGTTGAAATAAAAATAAATTCAAAATAATAAGAAATAATAAAAAGCATAAACTAATAAAATCACAAAATCACAAAATTACTAAAACCGAAATGAAATAGTTGTAATTAACACATTGTAATTAAATTGGTTTCTCCTGCATTACTCTCTTAGCTTTATATGTTTGTTGGTCTCTAACACATTGGGACACGTGAGGTGACTGGTTTCCATGCTGCTTTCTGTCTCAGCAGAAAGAGAGGGAGTCTGGGAGTGTCTTTGTCCTATTATATGGATCTTTACCCAGACTGAACTATCAATTCTTTACAAGGCTTCTTTCTCATAAAAAGAGCACAAGAAATGCCAAAGCCTGAAATGGCATGACAGGCCGTAGAAAGGTCAATCCATCTTTGTTGCGTTTCACAAAATGAGGATGTATTAATGGCATTTTATTTGACTGGCCACTGTGAGGAGTAATCCAGAATGTCACGAACACATGTGTGACTGTCCTTGTGTCCTGTTCATATGTCAAGTTACACGTCAATATGAAACCAAATAAAATGTCTCTTAAGGCCTGGCAGATATCATTCATATAGTTGTTCTGATAGATCATACCTGTGTCTTTGTAAACGGCACAAGAGAATCTGAACACATTAGCCAATCAGAACACTTCTCTGCCTGTCTGACATTGAGTGTGCTGTCTTGAGAGGGTGAAAAAAAAAAACAAGTTTTGGTTCATTTGATTGGTGTGCACAAGCGAAATATACCCAGGTCCACTTGTAAAGATGGTCTGCGATGGTTCACAATTGTTGGCAAACAGGGTTTATTCTTGAGTATAAGATTCACTTTATTCAAGTATATATTTACACGATTACACTCTAAACCTGTTTTGCTTTACCACAGGTTTTCTACACAACTGTCCAGATGGGTTGCAGTTGCTGTAGGATGATAAAAAGGTAAGCCGGAAGGTATAAAGAGCAGAGATTCTTTATTCTCAAGTATTCTTTCTTGAAGATCCTAGATATTTCTCACATAACTGCTGTTGTTCACCAGCTCAGCCAGACTCTAAAGCTGACCTTGGATCAGTTTTTGGTTGTGATTCAGTCTGCCAGCACTGCTCTGTTCTCTGTCAATAGACCTTTTATTTTAGTTTGTATCTTTCACTTCAACATTTATGTGGGTTGTTTTGATGCAGGGAGTTTATTTCACGGTTAATACACACAGATATTCACACTCTCTAACCTGCCCTTTAATTGCTTAGAATGTCACATTTCTGGGCTTAGTTTGAGCTGCAAGAATTGCCTCATGCACATACTACAAATGCATGCTTTCTTTTGGAATTTAACACTAGTGTGTTGTCTGATTGGCTTTGTGTCAAATCTGTTAAACAACACCCACACATTTTAATTTATATCCACTGGTGATGAGGAGAAAGTACATAATTCTAAGTGATTAGTAAGAAAGACCCCTTTTTACCTACTGCAAGTGTGTCCAATGCTGCTCCTGCAAGGCCAAAAAATTTAAAGTTTAGCTGTAAACCTAATCGAACACACCTAAACCAGATAATCAAGGTCTTCACAATCACAAGAAACATCTAGGCAGGTCTTTGGAGCAGGGTAAATATCTATAGAAAGGTGGCCCTCCAGGAGCAGAATTAGAAACCCTTGAAGTAATGTTTAAACATCACAATACTTCCTTTTTACATTGCACAAAGGGTTGTGGGCAATATTAGCTGAAAAGATACACATTTTCAAACACATTCCCCCGGGAACAGTATATAATCCAGGCACCTGTTCAGGGTGAATAGAATGCGAGTTCCCAGGCTTTTCTGGGATTATGTCAGATCCTGCTAATAAACATTAGCATTCTACTCTGTTGCAACTTTTACCAGGCAAAAATGCCTCGCATTGCTAGGCAGTGTGTGTTGTTTAATGGAGGTAATGTTTACTAAGGGTAAAATTTCTTATCCTGCCAGGTACAGTGGAAAATTCCACTTTATCCACCCTCTAAACTGTTAAACTGAAATTGATTTCAACTGAGGTGCTTAAACGTGGAGAATTTATAATGAAGCTAATAAAATTCATCTCATGTAACACATTGTATGAAATTCACTAAATGTTTGGAATATGATACAGGTGACATGCAAAGGACAGACAGATAAATACATGAATACTTGAGGTTGACATTGGGCTGAATGACCTGCATGCCTCTTTCTTTCCATGTGGATTTTCAATGGAAAAGGGGAGTGAAAAACAGAAGGATCTCAGCAGGGAGTGTCTGACATAAATGCATCAGGCTCACTTGGCACACACACACACACACACAATTTGGGATTTTTGTCTCTCATTCCTATGTTGGATTCACACTTTCCCTATTTGATACCTGTTTGTTGTGTAATTTGGTGTAAATATAGAAATGTAAATATTGTGTTATGTAATAAATTGAAAAAAAAAATCCCTAAAAGGGGAAAGAGGACACAATATAATGTTATAACGCATAGACCTGTTTGTCATTTCAAATGTCGTTTCGCTACACTGGTTGTGCTTTCGTCAGTAAGGGCCTTTGCCTGTGCTATGCAAATTATGAGTGCATTCAAATGTCCTGCACACATCAGTTTCCAGTAGAACCCAAAAGAGGAACAGCATTTTATATATTATGATGAAATTGACAACCAGAGGGAATTTATATAGATGACGATTAGGAATGATGGTCAAGATTGGAGGCTGGATAAATGGATAACAAAATGTTTGTTTACAGACTTATGAATATTATTTGTTTATTGCGGATAATTATTCAGAAGAGTTTTGACAGAAAGAGTCCAACCACATTTTGATTTTACATGGGGTGACTGAATCTGAAGTCAATCATACTACAAAAATAGGCTGCCATGGAAAAACTCAAATTATTCAAAATAATGTAAATTCTTTTTTTAAATAATGCCGCCCGTCTGCACAAACGGCTATATAGAAAACACCAAAGAAACTGGTAGAAATGTGTCTAGACTGTGATCAAAACTGAACTGAATTACTGATTATTTCACAGTCAGAAAACAACGTTTCTGAAAGTGATTTTACAATATAAATATAATACAGGGATGTCCATTCTGGAGGACCACCTTCCTGTAGAGTTTAGCAACAACCTGCTCCAGCTTACCTGTCTGGAAGTTTCTAGTGATCCGGAAGGTCTTGATTAGCTGGTTCAGATGTGTTTAATAGAGTGTGGCAGGAATGTGTCGATTTGACACATTCTTCTGAATGGTTGTAACTGCTACAAAGAGATTCCTACAAAGAAAGGAAATTATATATTTTAAATAAATAGATAAAAAAATGAATGTTTAAAATAATGTTAAAAATAAAATGTACTGCAGTCACTGAATTAACTAACTTTCATTATGTCTCTAAATTACATCTGGCCAGAGAATTTCATCTATATCACAACATAAATTCTCACAAGTCCTGAATTGTGGGGGAAAAAAATGGCATGGATGTTGAATCCACACTTCTGTCAAGCTTCTGTCACAACATTTCCATAGGCCTCTTCCATTGCTTGAAGAAGACTTATTTGGTTGTAAGGATTGCGATCATATACTTTTTATTTTCAAGAGAAGAAGAACTCTTCGGCTAAATTCAGGAAAGGAGAATATGGTGAAAGGTGGGTGATGCTCAACCCACTCTCGCGCCAGTGCTAAATGGTGAAATTGGACATTGTCCCAAAAAACTACAAAATTTTGATTAATTTGCTCCTGATTGACCTGTGGTAAGAGGATTTCATTGAGAGAGTTTAAAAAATATAGGAGCCCTTCACTGTTGAATGGGCTCAAGACAACATTGTGTGCCACAACACCAGTGGTTGAAATTGCGACACACATAGTGACATTGCCTCCTGGTTGTCCAGGGACATTGACTGTGGCATGATGGGCAATCACATTCCATTCTTGTCTCTGTTTTTTGTTGAGACTGAAGCCAGCTTCATCAACATACAGCTACTCATAATGAGTTGCACTGCTAGACAGTTCCAAAGTCCTCTAGAGTAAAAAAGAACAGAAGGTACAATATTGCAGTGGTTTGACAGTAGTGGTATTGATTGTAAACTTGACACTATAACTGTTGCCGAACTTTGGGTGTATTCACACCTGTCTTGTTTGGTTCGATTGAATCGAACTCAAGTTCGTTTCCCCCCTTGGTGCGGATCTTTTGGGCAGGTGTGAATACAGCAATCGCACTCGGGTGCGGACCAAACAACCGTACCGAGACCCAGCTGAAGAGGTGGTCTCGGTCCGCTTCCAAACGAACTCTGGTACGGTTGAATGGATAGACCAATGAATGGATGACCTTAAGCACATGTGTGGTTTTGTTTACTGTTTCTGGTTCACTTGCAAAAAGGGCTGTGTGAAAGCGAACCGCACCAATAAAAAAAAATAAACATTGTATTTGGTCCGGACCAAAGCAAGTGAACTAGCGGACTTTCCTGGTGTGAATACACCCTTTGAGTACCCACTTTGACACATCACTAGGCTTAGAGACACCTGAGTTTTTCCAGAGTGTAATAGTATATGGCTACATAATGCCCATGAAATACATAACTTTGTATTTGCAGTAAAAGAACAGTAATTGTGTGGCAGGCACATACCTGAACAATTGGAACCACAACTCCTTCAATCTGTCTGAGCTCTTCACGTTGTTTACTTGCTTCATCTGGATGGAATTTCTTCTTAGAACACGTACAATTGTGATAGGACTGCAATGGTGAATATTATGAAATGGTTGATTGTCCTGTATTATTCTTTGCTGAATTTCTTTGAGGCATTGTTGGTGTTGTTCTGGACCACCATGTCAACAATGCCATGTTTTTGTGCATTTGAAAATATTGTGCATTCTTTTTCGTCCACCTGAATGTAGGGCCAACAAGTAGGGCCAGTTACGGTAGAGAACTAGAACTAGAAATAGACAAGACTCTAGACTAGACTCATAGAACCAGAATGGTATAGTTACTTATTGGTTTTCCCTCTGAAATGTTATATTTTATATTTAGCTGAATTCTCTGGCCGGCTTCTCTCAATGAAAGACCATGATATAATGAAATGATATAACGTGGTCAACAAGGGTGGCTCTGATTTTATTCGAAACCCATCTGTACGCTCTACCTCTTCTTCCTCCTCTTCCACCCTGCAGTCAGTCCTCTTCCTTTTTGTTCACGTCTTCTTACATTTTCTTCTTTTTCACTATACCATCCCTCTCCAATCCACCCATCTCTTCTCCCTCTACTCTTCCCTCTTCTCCTCTTCCTACATCCTTAACTCTTCTTGCTCCTTCTCCTCTTCTTGCACCCTGTCCTCCTGTCCCCTCATCTCCCTCTACCTCTTCCACCGTTCTTCTCCCTCTCATTACACGTCCTTTTCACCTTCTCATTCTTGTTCTTATTCTTTGCCTTTTTTTCTTTTCCCTTTTCCTCTTTTATAATTGTTGTAATTGAGATAAATGTTTAAACAATTGGGAAATTTGCATTTCTTTTGTTTGAATTACTCAACAGTCATCAATTTGGAGCTAATTGAAAACATATCAAGTGCAACTGAGAATTTAGCAAATGAAAGAGTTTTGTTGCATTTGGAAAAATGGTAAATGCATTTTTGTGATTTGTGTAAAACCAATTCATAAAGTTGCAGTTGTCTTTTCCTAATATATTAAAGCTTTGGTTGGTTGTATGAACTATTGTGAAAACATTTAGTTTAAACATTGTGCACAGTGTTTTGAGAACATTATGCATGTGATTTCTAATTTGTTTAACTAACAATTTGTTTAGGATAATTACAGTGTTCAGATCATTATGTTAACTGTTTTGCAAGCAGTGACCTACGTTTGGAGAAATGTCAAATCATTTGAGAAAAATTGTAAAACCCAGAAACAAGTAGAATTTTTTTAACTTCCATCGTCCTAAATTGAATGGGTTTTTGATTAAAAAAAAACAAAAAAATGCAGTCTGACAAAAACTCGAGATATTTTCACAATTCATTCTACATAAAATACGCCCTACTAACAAATGACTACATGGGATTACAGTGGTTGCGAGCAGGAAAACTCATCTACTCTGCTCTATTCTGCTGTTGCAAACTATTCTAACTCAAAATGTCCAACTTGTAGATTTTAAAGATTGAAATAAGTTGTCAGAATATTAGCTTGGTCACATTGAGGTCATGCAATCACAACAGTGTCATTCATTTTTAGCCTAGCTTTAGCTTTTTTCCTCTGGCTATTGTATTTAGACTTAAAATTAATACAATTATTTTCTGGAGTAATCCAAAAGCCAATGGAAAAAAGGAACCTGGGTAATGCTAACTTGGATGGGCCTACAAATGTACATCAGTGTGTTTAGTGGTTGAATGATTAGTGGTCGAACTATATGTGTTTATTTGATTGCCAATGCTGATATCATTAGAGAACAGGGTGGCCGATAGATAATATAATGCTGATATACAGTATATGATAATTATCCATTCTCGTCTGTAAGCTTGTGGGGATGCTGGAAAATATAATATCACACTGTTAAATGATAGTAAACAACTTGCATAACAATTGTTGAAATTCAATTTATTTTTCATTATGAAAATGAATCAATATTTTAAAAATTACTTTTTTTTTTTAAATATACAAAATAAACCCTTTAATACTTTACAGAGCAACTTTATGATTCTGTAATCTGTTTTTTACAGTAAACTAATGAAGAATGGGAGCTCCACTGGCATTCTTAAGTGCTGACAAAATAAAGGTCCTGTTCTGACACTTATCAGCCAAGCAGAAAAACTTTGTGATAATTAAAAAAATGCAAATATCATCAAGGCCAATGTATTGGTTGACTAGTGTTATTTGATTTGTAATATGTCTGGGTTATTTGACCTTTATTTGAATCTTAACTAGGTTATAATATTAATTTCCACCAAAAAGGCCACCAGAAGTTCATTTCATTAAACCCTTTCCTCAACCCCCTCTCTGTTGCAGTTACATCTATGACCCCTCAGCTCCTGTAGAAGTTCCTGGTCAGAAGCGGGACCCCACCAGCAGCTGTCTGTATCAATCTCACAGATTCCCAGAGGAGGTGGACCACATTCACAAGAAACAGGGCTTCCACAACCTGGCATACAGCAACCAACCCAGTCCGACCAAACTCGACATAGACAACAACCACATCAACCGGCTCCATGCTAACATTCCAGGCGAGCAGATACGATCGAGCCCAGCAGAGGGTGACCCGAGTCTTTACATCCTCCAGCCCGAGGGCGAGGGGACACCCATAAAAGCCGCTTCTACCTTACGCACCAACCCACCCATACAGAACGATTCGTTGTTGGGAACGGAACCGGGCAAGCGAGAGAACAGATTTCGAGACTCTGGGCTGGGCGGCGGAGGGATAACAGATGGGACAGAGGGATCGGATGGATATCCCTATGGACAGGAGGATGAAGATGGGGACAGGAAGAGCAGGCTGGCTGTTACTCCAGACACGGCCGATGAGGAGAGTGTGCTGTCTGTGGACATACACACCAGCAGTACGAGCCTCTCCTCAGCAGACACAAATCTCATGGTAGAGGACAGAGAAAAGGAAGAACCCTCGATCGTGAGAGGAGAGCAAGAGAGAGAGAAAGAGATCGATTGTGTGAGCGTTACAGACTCAATGGTGGCAGAGGCCTTGGCCGCTCTTGATGCTGCAACTGCGGGAGAGGATTCTGAGTGACGGTCAGGTGACACACTAGTTAATGGTGACTACAAGGGAGATTTCCATACTCACTCTCTCACTCACCCTTCATATTTGAATACAGCCAAATAATAGTGCTCATGAAATGAAGCTTTCCTGCAACCTGTCTGTAGGTACTTTTATTTTGAATGGGAAAAAAATCTAATGAAGACTTGATAACAGGAAGTGCTGGTTGTTTACACAACAAAAACTGACCACTTATGAGACTTACTTGAGCAAATGAAGGTCATGGACAAATTCAATTCTCAGACCAAACAGAAAGTACTGTTGCGTGATTTTCCTCAGTGCTGTTTTGTACACGGCATCATAATGAAATAAGCTCTGTTTCTTATCGTCAAATATTATTTCTGCTCCATAACATAATGAAAGTACTCTTCTTCTGTAGCGTCTGTTTGGAGGTGGGGCTAAAACAATCTAAGCACTACATAACTATTTTCATACATTTTCTATACAAAGAGGTGGTGAAAAACAAATAAGCCAGTGTCCTGGTGTGGGGTTACTTCTGTGCTTATTGTACTTTTAGAGACGTTATAAGATTATATGATCAAACTGCTCTATACAGTGAAATCAAGTTAATTCAGTCTCAACAGATCAATATGCTATTTCTTGCTTGTTACACTGTGAATAAATCATCAGTACCCTCATAGAGCTGTAGGACGACGTGCTTTATTTTTACACATAAATGTACAGCAAGAATTGTGGGTGAATCTCATGAAAACATATTTCAACCTAAAATAAAAAAGGAAATTATATTTTGCATAAAATGCAAGTTTATTCTATATTTTTTATGACTGTTCTTAAATTTTAATGTATAGACAGTAAAGATAATTTGAGGGGGAAATGGTTCATTTTCATGAAAATGCGACTGCAAAGAATCTTAATAAGTACAGTGCAAAAAAAAAAAATCATTATTTTCTTTAGATTTTGAAATATGATCCATTCATGGTAGATTTCATGAGATTTATCCTTGTATATTTATGTTCATGTTGCACTTTGTATGTTTTAAAAGCAGTGTGTTGAGGAATCAGGCCAGTGATGGTAGTTGATGCTGTACACTCCGAGGCTGTATTCATAACTAGTCCTGGTTAACTATCAGAGGCCTGATGAAAAAGAAGCCTAGTAATTAAATTGCACTGTATGACACTCATATTTCTTTTTTCAGAAAAAGTTTTGCAAAAAAAAAAACAAATGTAACCCCCCCTTTGTGATATCTTTATGAAGGTCATTGAGTATTTCCAAATGTTTTACCAAGTATCCATTGGTTGAACTTTGTGTGTCGGTCAGAATCATTTCTTTTAAACCTGTTATTGAGTAAATGTAATTGACAGGAACTGATTTTCTAATGATGACATTTTGACTGCATTGAATGATTTGAATCCAGTGCACATTCACAGTGAATTTGCTGTTTATATTCCATTCTTTCTGCTTTAACCAGAGGACAGAATTGTCACATGAACCAGGGGAAAATAAAAACAATGTGCTTGATCATAAGACTTGCGATGTAATCTGTTGACATTTCTGCTTTGTGGATAACGATGCCGTAAGGCCTTTTATATAACCTAATGATATCTCCCTCCAGCCCTCACTGGCCAGTAAGACATGTCCTGAAGTGTATGACTGCTATATTGTGCTGAAACCCAGAGAGATCAGATATTGGGAATTGTGAGGTTTGTACAATTCTGAAAATGTCTCACGACAAAATACTTAAACATGATTAAGATACAGATGTTATGCACCATTTTATATTATGGATGATACTTTTAATGAGTGTGAGGGTGAAAATAAGCCACATTTGACTGGGTATAACATCATATGCAACCATTAAATGGCTTGTATTATGAACCGTTTCAAAAGATTTTCGTCCTGTAGTCCGTTTCAAACTCCGTCTTGTCTTTTCTCTTTCGTAGTCAGTTGTTTTGATACAGCAAAAACATTTCTTTAATGATTTGCTTGTCAAATTTGTATTCAATCTAAGTTAAATTGATGCTTTGATCGCTAAAAGTAAAGGTTGCTTTTAACAGTACAAGAGGCCATACTGATACCAGTGTTTTGGATAAAAGAGAATCGGATCTGGTTTGACGAGTAAGAGCAAGTCATATCATTTGGGTATCTCAGATATTGGGAATTGTGAGGTTTGTACAATTCTGAAAATGTCTCATGACAAAATACTTAAACATGATTAAGATACAGATGTTATGTACCATTTTATATTATGGATGATACTTTTAATGAGTGTGAGGGTGAAAATAAGCCACATTTGACTGGGTATAACATCATATGCAACCATTAAATGGCTTGTATTATGAACTGTTTCAAAAGATTTTCGTCCTGTAGTCCGTTTCAAACTCCGTCTTGTTGTCTTTTCTCTTTCGTAGTCAGTTGTTTTGATACAGCAAAAACATTTCTTTAATGATTTGCTTGTCAAATTTGTATTCAATCTAAGTTAAATTGATGCTTTGATCGCTAAAAGTAAAGGTTGCTTTTAACAGTACAAGAGGCCATTCTGATACCAGTGTTTTGGATAAAAGAGAATCGGATCTGGTTTGACGAGTAAGAGCAAGTCATATCATTTGGGTATCTGGCGTCTATAGAGCCTGGACTTGTGTTGTTTAGTCATAGACAATAGAAGCCAAAAATGCAAATGTGGTTATTAAAATTCCAAATTATTTTTATTTACAAGAGGGCTTTACAAGTGTCTCAAAAATTTAATTGTACACTGCGGTTCAAAAGTTTAGGGTTGTTAAGATTTTTACAGTTCTTTTGAAAGAAGTCTCTTATATGCAACAATGTTGCAATTATTTGATCAAATACAACAGGGATATTGTGAAATTATTCAAAATATTTATTTTCTATTTTAATATACTTCAAAATGTATTTTATTCCGGTGATAACGAAGCCATTATTCTAGTCTTCAGAATAGTCACACAATCCTTCCGAAATCATTTGAATAATGCCGATTTGATGCTCAAGAAACATTTCTTATCAATGTTGAAAACAGTTGAACAAACCTTTGTGTGGACATAGTCATGCATGATGAACAGAAAGTTCAAAAGAACAGCATTTATTTGAAATTAAATTCCGTTTTGTGACACTAAATATATTTAGCATCGCTTTTGCTCAATTCAGTGCATCCTTGCTGAATAAAAATATTGATTTCTTAAAAAATCACTGAGACTATATAAATTATAGCCAGTATAGAAAAATAGAAACGATATCAAGTACTACAAGTTAAATACACCATTTGTGCAATAACTAAAAACCTGAATTCAGTTTCCTTTATAGCCAAACACAAATGATCAACACCAAAGGTCCAGCTGTTTCTACATACAGCACAGACAACATGAAACGACCTGAATAAATCTGCTGCGTGGCTGAGCATTTACATCTCTTTAAAGTCTGTGTGGGCTTGAGTTAATGATTCACAAATCCAAAAACATATGCAGACTAATAATACTCCACAGCGTTAACCATTTATAAGCTCCAGACTCATAGGTACTGCACATTGTTGTTGCTTAATGATTCCTTCTTCCTAGAAATATCCTGATGCATAAAGTACAAAAATAGTCCTCGACTCGCACACACAAAAAAAATGTATATAATGCACAAGGTCACATACTTTCCAGTAGGTCACGAGTAAGTAGGCAGCAGTCACGGAGAGATGGGAAAGATAGGCCTTCAGCGTTTTGAGTTTTGGAAAAGCTACAGACCTGAAGGTCATTAGTGCTGCACCAGTCACCTATTAACAGACACTTACTGATCTTTAGCCACAGTCCAGCTCTATAAAACGTATTACAGATCCAAGAACCTCTTGCACCTCACTATGAATGAAGGCTCTGAGAGTTTGTCGTGCTGAGAACGTTGGAAGGACATAGAGAAGTTAAAGTCATTATCTTTGAGCTACACTGACCTCAGAGCATTCAGTGTAGCAAATGTGCAAGTACACAGTGTGTGAAAGTGTGTCGTGATCGAAGCTTGTGGGTACAGCAGAATCAAAACAACCAGTCCAAGGTGTGTTTAACCTTTTAATGTATAAATACTGGGTACAAAACCTTCAGTAAAATATAACAGCACATTCTCACTCATTTTCTTTAAATAATTCTTCGGTTTACACATCTTCATGTTTCTTTAATTCTTGTCGATTTCAGAAGTTACAGTACTTGAAGTGACACATTAAGATAAATAAGGTTAATATCATTTCAGTATGATTACCTTTAACTAAAATTTGAACAGGAAGTCTATGAGCAACATTTATTTAAACTATTCGTTCCAGCACTTCAAGCTCATGTGCAATGAGCTAGAAAGCCTATAGATATTTTGAAATCTACCTGTATGGTGTTTGAGCAAAAAAACAGGCAAAACAAAATCAGTGGCACAATAATGACAATGCTAATTAAAGGCAAAATACATTTTTAAAAGTCTGTATATTTATTGGAGTTTTGGTTAAAATACTCAGGATTATTAAAAGTCCTATATTTTGGTCCTCTTTGCCTATGTTTGGCACTAAAGCAAAGACACTTTTACCTTTTTTGTGGTACCATAGATTGTTGTTTTTTTTTCAAAGATACAATAATATTAAGTATAGTGAAGGATATAGTCTTATCTATTTGTGTACACTTGACATTATATCACTAAATGAGCTATAGACTAAGGTTAATATCATTTCAGTATGATTACCTTTAACTAAAATTTGAACAGGAAGTCTGAGCAACATTTATTTAAACTATTCGTTCCAGCACTTCAAGCTCATGTGCAATGAGCTAGAAAGCCTATAGATATTTTGAAGTCTACCTGTATGGTGTTTGAGCAAAAAAACAGGCAAAACAAAATCAGTGGCACAATAATGACAATGCTAATTAAAGGCAAAATACATTTTTAAAAGTCTGTATATTTATTGGAGTTTTGGTTAAAATACTCAGGATTATTAAAAGTCCTATATTTTGGTCCTCTTTGCCTATGTTTGGCACTAAAGCAAAGACACTTTTACCTTTTTTGTGGTACCATAGATTGTTGTTTTTTTTCAAAGATAACAATAATATTAAGTATAGTGAAGGATATAGTCTTATCTATTTGTGTACACTTGACATTATATCACTAAATGAGCTATAGACTTGATAGAGCCTCTGAACTCTGTGGACACATGCAAGCTATACAGAATCATGAAACTAAGAATGTTTAACATTTTGAAACTGTTGAGTGTTCGGCAGACTGGTGAACTGAATCGCAATGCTCTGTCCCACACCAGACATCACCAGGCAAACTTCCAGTTGGTTAAGGTGTGCTAGGTTGATAAATTAATCTATTAAATATGCAATTTCACTGGTTTACAGAAAAATGTTTTCAAAACATAATTTAATTTATTAAAAAAAAGGTGAAAAGGTGCATATAGTGAAGAGATCAAGCCAAGTCCATTTAAGATGGCAACAGGTTAAGAAAAAAACGTTTAGTCTGGATTGTAACCAGTGAGAAATTTCATGGCTCTGTTTTTCTGTTTATCACAGCTTGCAATGAAAAAGAGAAAAAAAACCCCTGAACAATACTTCCCACTTCCTGGAAGTAGCCCAAAGAGGCACATGGCGAAGATCTCCGACCACAACGCCAGCTTGGATTAAACATTGACACGCTCATAGCCACAAATGACGCCATCCGCCACTGATAATGACACAAGGGTGTTTAAGAAAGGTGGGTTGGCATGGTGACAGGTTAATTTATATAAAATGGCTTCTGCTGCCTTTCCACAACTGACGTTTCACATGAAAGAAAGGAGGGTTCGCATCCATCATCCTCTTTTCCTCTTTCCTCATCACATCTCTCATCACAGTTTGAGGCGTTCTCCCTCTCTTTAGTCCTCTTTGGAAGTGTGACTTCCAGATTAAAATCTTTTTAAAAGGTCACCTGAGAAGCTGCTGGAACTCTACAGATGTCACTTTGCACTGCCTCCTTTATCCTAAAGACAAACAACACACAAAACGAGGATACAAATAACCCTTGATAAACTCTTTGGAGAGTTTGCTTAACCTGCATTAGGAATGAGAGTTTTCTTTCACACTAAAGCCAGTCACCTGTGACTTTGGGCCTGTGATGCGTTCAGGGGGGTCAGCGTTAGCAGGTGATGGGGGAACACTGCCATTGGGCTCAGTGATCAACAACGTCCGCCTATCCCGGGCCGATTTGGGGTCACACTTTGTCACCCGGAATCTAGAGAAAGAAAGAGATGTAACAGATGATGAGTACAGTGAAAGACTATACATTAAGAAGACAAATGATGAGGTACAGACTGAGCAATCATACTCTTATAGAGACAGGGAGATATCAACAGAACTGGCTGCCCAAAGAGAGCCGCATCTGCCCATACATACACACACACACACATATATATATATATATATATATAGTACATGGAGTAGCTATAATTTAGGGTCTCATGAAATAAGTTGATTGCAAAGTTACTTATAATCAGTAGAATGGGGGACCATCAAATTAAACCTTTAACTTTATTAATAATAATAGTAATAAATCAATGTACAATGTTTACATTCACTATATAATTATTATTTATTGTTATTATTATTACTTTGAAAGGTACATTTTAATATACAAAAAAATTGTAGTAGTTATATATTTCAGTCATAATTTCTAAAAACAACCTATTATTTTGTGGGTTTGTTGGGAAGATCTTTTGAATTGTATAATGCAATAGGTTTTATCAAATAAAACAATGAAATGCTTGTAACATGAACTATCTAAATAAAAACAGTAGAGATGAAGTTCATGTGGAGTGTCCTCATATAGTGAGACAGCAGGCGCTGAAAGCACCATGAGCATCACGCCTGCTTGAGTATGTGTAGTACATACTCAGACTTTTTAGAAACACCTCTAATCATCTAAATATAGGCTATATTTCTTCTTTCTATTTTTTCAGATAAATATCAATATCAATTTATCGCCCAACTATAACCTCATTGACAGCTTTGCGCCGAATGCTGTGAGCTTGAGCCAATACAAGGCAGTCGTGGCCTAATGGTTAGAGAGTTGCAACCCGAAGGTTGCAGGTTCGAGTCTCAGGTCCGGCAGGAATTGTCGGTGGGGGGAGTGAATAACCAGAGCTCTCTTCCACCTTCAGTACCATGACTGAGGTGAGACCCTTGAGCAAGGCACTGAACCCCCAACTGCTTCCAGGGCACCACAGCAATATGGCTGTGTGTTCACTTGGATAGGTTAAATTCAGAGTATGGGTCACCATACTTGGCCACACGTCACTTCACTATATATATAACTTCACTATATATATATATATATATATATATATATAACTATATAAAGTGTTGTACGTAGCACACACCTGCCTACAGACAGCACTATGACCTCTCCTACGTAACTGCGTCTGTCCAGTTTTTTGCTGGATGGGCGTCTCATCAGAGGCCATTTTTTCTGGTTGCAGCGGTTGCAGATGTTCTTATGTCCTCCGATCCCTCCGATGGTGTGCAGGTGGTTGCAGGTGTGTTTGGCTGCGCTGGGTGGCAACCCTGGCAGTGCAGGGCTCTCTGGGCTGGCGGGTGTGTTTGGAGAGGTGGGCGTCACAGGACGACTGTAGGAAATTGAACAGAAAAATATCAGCTTAACTGCATGAAACTGCATGACGAACTAGTTACATTTGCCAAAATTCGGTACATACAACAGAGAACACTACACTACACTTTCACCAAACCCTGAAAGCTTTTGCTTCTGTATCTGAAAGGTACTATATTTTAGCTGAAATACAGCACAATCGGAGCAGTTACTTTAAAAGACAGACCAACTCTCTCCCCTGCTGCTTTATCTGTCTTCTCCTCTCTCCTTCTCCCTCTATTTATTTTGTCCTTCCACTCTGCCAACTAAAAAAAAAGAGGGAAATGCAGTGGTCCTTCTCTTATCTGTCTTCATTACACTGCAGGATGTTGTTCTGCTCTGTGTGCATATGCACGCGTGACTCATTTGAGAGGCAGAGGAAGAGCAGGACAGATACTTCAACTGCCACCTGCAAGAGGGACTATGAGGAACAAAGGAGCAAGAGACACACATGCAAACACACACAACACCAGAAGTGTATTCGGTGTGTTCTGCAATGGAAGCCACTACTAAAACGTGAAATCAGTTAGTTAGATCATTGACGGTGTAAACATTGAATTAAAAAGGTATTGTCACTTTAAAGCAGTCATTAGGGGGTCAAGGTTCTGCTAGGTGCCATGGTCTCGTTAGCCCCTGCTGGTAGATGTTGTAACTACACCTTCTAGCTGCCAGTGTTGAGTTCGCTACAAGTTAACTACATGTTACTAGCCGAACTACATTTTTCAGTAGCGAGGTTACTTTTAAAATAGTGTAACATTTTCGGTAGCTAGCTACTTTTTCAACCAAGTAGCAGTGTAGTGACACAAAATGCTATATCACTATGCTTAAAATATGAAATGAAATGCCCAGCTGGCAAAAGATTTATTCTTTTGAGTCAGTTCTTTTCGAGGAATGCATCAAACTATGAGCAGAGCGATCCAAAATGATTTGAGATTCAGGCTGATTCATCCAGCCTGTTTGGGGTAAAACTTTACAGCGGTGTATTGATAATGCACAGAACAAAAAGAATGAGGGTCTTGATAAAGTGAAACATTTACCTACTCATAATTGAAAGCAGCTTTTTCAACACTGCTAGCTGCAGAAAGCATCTTTTTTCACTTTCGAACTTTTACAAATAGCCACTGACTTCTGACGAAATAAATTTTGCAAGCATGTAAATTGACATTTAACTTGCAAAGCCCTCCGCTCAAGCGCCACCCCCGGACTCATCTCCCCATGGATGCCCTGTGCGCTCAGTAATCGTCTGGGGAATGGACAGCACAACATCTCCTCTGCAGAACACCCAATCACCCTTCATTCTGAGCACCACTCCTTATTTTCCTCTTCTTCTCTTGACTTCCTAATCACTCCATCCTGAGCTCCTTCTGTCACAGCATCTGATTGCTCTAAACCTTTTACTTTCCCGATGCTCTGCTCCTCTTTTCAGTCTCTATTTTTTGGTCTCATACTTGTGTTCAAAATAGTAGGAATCAAATCCACTCTGCTGCTTATACAGTGTGTCAAGCAGAGTGACGTCATTGTTCAACTCAAATCTATCATTCACATGAATGCTCAGACCAACTGAAACACACACACACACACACACACACACACACAACGTAGAAGGAGGACATTTGGGGAAAAGGAAGGATTAAAGGAATTCCCTAAATTGAAACCCATATGAACCTTTTCTTCCATGGAACACAAAAGGAACCATTTTGAAGAATTCTTCTATATCCTTCGATAAAAGGCACCACAAAATATATATATATATATATTTAAAATACAGCATTGTGCTTTTTCATACCGTGAATTGGTTTCATCGGAATGATTCATTCAGGTTCTCTCACTGATTTGATCCGGTCCCAACAGTTTTCTTGAGTTAAAAGCTCAATGGAGGGGAAGATTATCATTGAATAATGGCTATCATATGAGTTCAGAAGTCTTAAAGTACACATTTAGGACCACTTTTAAGATTTTATGGCCCTTTTAGTTGAATCTTGAAAGCAACCAGTTTATTTATCTCCTTTTTGTTCCACTGCGGAAATAAAAATTTGTCATTCACAGATTTGTAATGACATGAGAGGGAGTAAATGATGACAGAACTTTGAGTGAACTATCCCTTTAATCTAGTGACTGATGTATAAGACTGTGAATTGCATAAGATGAATGAAACAGTTAAAATATACCATTTCAGGATGAATAAACATTCACTCATGTATTATGAAATGTTATAGGAATAAAGGTGTAGTGCAGGTATATGAGCAATTTGAGATAAAAAAAAAAAAAAAAAGTGAAGATCCCTTGAAAAGATTAAAAATGACCTTAACCTTGATGTCACAGCATACATTTTCAGTACTAGGCAATTAACTTTCACCTTCTATAAACTGATGTCATAATGCTGATCAAATGGAGCACAATGACATTTACATGCATCTTAAGGTGAGACCAATGCCCCACCCAGACTCATATTCTGTGACTTCTCTGTATATGTGGTTTTGAAAGTCTTCCTGGCTAATTCTGGCTTGCAGCAGTGTCAGTGATTGATGCTTTTGTGCTTCATGGTGATTTCCCCCACGATGTGTCATATGAGACAGACAGAACCACCTTTATGCCTCAATGCTACTCTGTCTGCCCTCTTGTGCTGCTGCCGTTATTTAAGAAGTGACATTGCCATCTTGTGGGGAGATGGGGCACTGACTTACAAAACAATACATCCATGTCTAATGAAACATTCCTGCTTGTTTTACAAGTATGCTACTGTATTACTGTATACAAGTTTCTTTATATACAGTGAGGATCCAATATGCTGAGAGCTAGTGAAAATACTTCTACTTGGCTTTTTGTTCTAACTGAACAGACTACATATTGAATTATGACCATAATAAAGTGAATTTATAAATGAATAATGGAAATGAATTTGTTAGGTTTTTTTAATAAATATGCCAGTTCAGGACACCATTACAGAGAGAACAGAAAACAAATATAGGTAAGACATAAACAGGGTCTTACCCCTCCGATTCTATACTGTCCTGAACCATGGCTTTGAGTGCGTCGGAGTTGGCTGGTGAAAAAATGAAAGAGAGAGAGAGAGAGTGTTCATTAAATGACTTCTTAAATTAGTACAGAGAGTCTGCAGCCTCAGATGCAGAACCATTAAGCAAAGTGAAGTCTTCTGACTAATGAAAGCAGCTGACTGCCTTCTGATGCAACTAGTTTCAATTTAAATTGCCTTCAAAAAGGCGATCAACTTTAAAATGTTAACATTTTCGCACAGTGGCACATGAATTGTGCAATCACTGGCAATGAAAGTGACTAGCTCTTCACTGAACTTTCAGTTCCTTCCGTTTACACAGAAGAACGTCTTATCCATTTTAAGATGCTGACTGCTATATGCCTTCTTATTAAACATCCACTAGATATGCAGGAATATGTTGGTTTCTGAAACGATAATGTGTTGCTAGGAATGCACCATGACCAAGCAGTGGACATGGAGCGTCATGAAAGATGCACACACAAATACACAAGACACATGCAGCAGTAATATCACTTCCTGTCCACAGTTCGTGTCATACTAATGGGGAAGAAACGGTTTCAAATGCTGTTGATCACATGGTGTCACCATGGAGTGACCATTGATGTTTTTCTAAACCGGTTCAAACTGACCAAAACCATAGTTCCACTTTTTTATCTCTCTATTTTTCATTCTCAGATCAGTTTTCCCTTTTTATGTACAACTGAACTTTTCTTGTACACTTTGAAGTTGTTACGATGCAATGTCACACAGTCTGAAGTGAACCAGACAACACCTTCTACAGGCATCAACAAGAAACAAACTCATGACTGGAAAGTCAATTAATGGAGATTGAATCAACCTCGGGAAAAACTCCCCAAGAGAATATGTTGTCTGGGGTGACCTCATGATGATTTACTGCTCTGAGGTCAGCTGAGGATTGTTCATGCTCGGTCACAATTAATTCTGCATAACAATCAATGTGACTGACTGGTTACGCCTCATATTTCCCTCAGTAAAAAACCCCCCACAAAGACATGTTATCAGTTCTGAAAGGCCTTATGTCCTGGACTAATCTTAACCAGGGTCTGTCAAACCGCTCATATGACCTTTCAGTGTAATGAGTGTGTAATCTAGTGATGCCTAAACTCATCTTTATCCACACATTCATTCAGCTCACCTTCATTTATCATGATGGAGTGAACAATTCGGCCCACTGTGTCAGTGTTGCCTTCACTGAAGGTGTCATTCAGATCTGACAGAGAGAGACAGAGATGGGGGGTGTTAAAAATGGAAGAATAATACTTGGATATTGAATATTGGTCAACTTGCCTTTGTTGGAAAAAGAAAATAATTAAGTGAAAATTGAATTAAAAGTGACATCCGTTTTTGAAAAGCAAAAAGACCCACTCAGTTTGTTTAGTGTTTTATGTCATACAAGCAGAACCAAAGCAGAAATGTGACAAAACATCCATAAAAAGTGTGCGGGTTTAACAGCCTTTGTCTCAAACTGCCATCATAAACCAACTGTTATTAGTGGTTGTTATTAATGACACTCAATATGCAGGCGGTATGAAATATTGTATTTTCTGACACAGTAGTACTTAAAAAGGACTTGCTTATGATCACAAAAAAACTCTTTTACAATACTAACAATAAATACAGTCTGTTGACATCAGTGAAAGGCCTCATAAAAGGCATCTGGAGATGGAAGAGATGGCGAACTCCGAGTGGGCCTCTTACAGAAAACACACACACACCACCCATTTGCTCTCACAGCTGGGGATCAGACTGGGAAATGTGTAGTTCTGGAGTCATATAAAGTTTATCATCTGCTTTCTGTTTTTGTTACTTTTTATTTTTATTGCATGTATTAATCTACAGCTACATAATTTCCATACACTTTGACAAAATACATACAGTCTCGGTTTACTAACAACAAAAAAAGACCAAATTACACCCACAATTATCACCCCAAAGCTGCATTTCAGTTTCTCTCTAATCAGAGCCACAATCATTATAAACCCATCCACTGAGCCCAAAGATCCTGATGAGAGCACAAGCTCATAGAAGTGGGTGAGTGGCTCGGATTACTCTCACTAGTTCAAAAAGACATTCTGATAAACAAATAAATAAATAATTCAAAAAGAAATCTAATCTTGGTCTCATTTACAGCATTGCTAACAGTATTTATATTTACTAATTGTTAACTACAATTAAAACGATTAAAATCATTTTTTGTTAATTGTAATAAAACTAATATAAAACCAAAAAAACAGATATTAGATTTTTTTTTAATTATGAAAGGATTTGAAGAAATGTTGCCTTGGCAACTCACTGAAAATAAGCTATATTGAAATACTATTTAAAAAAATAAATAGTTAAAGAGTTAAAGTAGTTTAAGTCTTTGGTTCTTTTAATTGTGATGATTTTGGCTCACATTTAACAAAAACCCACCAATTCACTATCTCAACAAATTAGAATATGGTGACATGCCAATCAGCTAATCAACTCAAAACTTTAATACACGAGTTTCACAATTTGAGTTGAATTACTGAAATAAATGAACTTTTCCACGACATTCTAATTTATTGAGATGCACCTGTATGTAACTAGTGCTGAATCACATGCAATGAGATATGGGTGGATCTAGTGCTGGGCAGTATGACCAAAAATTTATATCACGGTATTTTTCAAAATTATACGTTTCACGGTACATGACGGTATTTTTTTTCATGCATGACCGGGTGTTAACCATATTTTCTACTGATTGAGAGAGGAA